GGGGGGGAATGGGGATGGGGGGACATGGGGGGGATGATCACATGGGGGAGGACGGGGATGTGGGGGGGAGGCAGGGACGTGGGGATGGGGGAACATGGGGGCAGGGAGGGGGATGGGGATGGGGGGTGGGGGCATGGAGATGTGGGGACGTGGGGCAGATGAGGATGGGGATGTGGGGGGGGCACAGGGATATGGGGATGTGGGAGGGGCATGGGGCTGTGTGGGGCTGTGATGTGGGGCTGGAGGACTGCAGTGTGGGGCTGCAGTGTGGGTCACTTAGGCTGCAATATGGAGCAGTGTGGGGCAGTGTGGGGCTGGAGGACTGCTATGTGGGGCTGTAAGGCTGCTATATGGGGCTGCAGTGCTGCAATATGTGCAGCGCGGGGCTGTAGGGCTGCAGTATGTGCAGTGTGGGGCTGCAATAGGTGCAGTATGGGGTTGTAGGGCTGCTATGTGGGGCTGTGGGGCTGCAATAGGTGCAATGTGGGGCTGTAGGGGTGCAATATGTGCAGTGTGGGGCTGTGGGGCTGCAGTATGGGGCTGTAGGGCTGCTATGTGGGACTGCAGTGCTGCAATATGTGCATTGTGGGGCTGTACGGCTGCAATATGTGCAGCGTGGGGCTGTAGGGGTGCAATATGTGCATTGTGGGGCTGTGGGGCTGCAATAGGTGCAGCGTGGGGCTGTGGTGCTGCAATATGTGTAGTGTGGGGTTGTAGGGCTGCAATATGTGCAGTATGGGGCTGTAGGGTTGCTATGTGGGACTGCAGTGCTGCAATATGTGCATTGTGGGGCTGTAGGGCTGCTATGTGGGTCTGTAGGCCTGCAATAGGTGCAGTATGGGGCTGTGGGGCTGCAATATGTGTAGTGTGGGGCTGTGGGGCTGCAGTATGTGCAGTATGGGGCTGTGGGGCTGCAATATGTGCATTGTGGGGCTGTGGGGCTGCAGTATGTGCAGCGCGGGGCTGTAGGGCTGCTATGTGGGACTGTAGTGCTGCAATATGTGCATTGTGGGGCTGTGGGGCTGCAATAGGTGCAGTGTGGGGCTGTAGGGGTGCAATATGTGCAGCGTGGGGCTGTAGGGCTGCAATATATGCAGCGTGGGGCTGTAGGGCTGCAGTATGTGCATTATGGGGCTGTAGGGGTGCAATATGTGCAGTGTGTTGCTGCAGTGCTGCAATACGTGCAGCTTGGGGCTGCAGGGCTGCTGTGTGGGCTGCAGGGCTGCAATATGATCAGCGTGGGTGACAGTGCTGCCCTCCTCCCCCCTTTCCCCCCCCAGACGCTGTCGCAGCAGCGGTTGCGCCGGCTGGAGGAGCTGCAGGCTTTCGTGGCTGCGGCGGCGCAGGAGCTGCGCTGGCTGAGCGCCCGCGAGGAGGAGGAGATCGCCTTCGATTGGAGCGACCGCAACCCCGCCATGGCTGCCAAGAAGGACGCCTACTCGGTGCGGGCTGCTGCCATGGGGTGGTGGGGGGTGCTGGGGGGTGATGATGTGGGGTGGTATGGGGTGCTGGGGGATGGTATGGGATGCTGTGGGGTGGTATGAGGTGCTGTGGGGTTCTGTAGGGTGGTATGGAGTGCTGCAGGGTGCTGTGGGGTGGTATGGGATGCTGTGGGGTGTTATGAGTTTCTGTGGGGTTCTGTAGGGTGGTATGGAGTGCTGCAGGGTGCTGTGGGGTGGTATGGGATGCTGTGGGGTGGTATGAGGTGCTGTGGGGTGCTGTAGTGTGGTATGGAGTGCTGCAGTGTGCTGTGGGGTGGTATGGGGTGCTGTGGGGTGGTATGGGATGCTGTGGGGCAGTGCACGGCAGTGTGGGGTGCTGCATTGCAGTGCGTGTGGGGTGCTGACACTGCAGTGCAGTGCATTGCAGTGCATTGTGCACTGCAGTGCATTGCAGTGCATTGCGGTGCATTGTACACTGCGGTGCTTTGCGGTGCATTGTGGTGCATTGCTGTGCATTGCTGTGCATTGCAGTGCATTGCAGCACATTGTGGAGCAGTGCGGTGCTGTGCAGTCCATTGCAGCACGTTTCAGGCCCTGGCTGTGCACTGCAGTGCTTTGGAGCACACGTTGCGTTCTGGCAGTGCGTTGCAGCACGTGTCAGCCACTGGCTGTGCACTGCGGTGCATTGCACTGCATTGCATTGCTGCGCTGTGCATTGCTGCCCATGTTGGGCCCTGACGGTGCATTGCTGTGCACTGCAGTGCGTTGTGGTGCATTGTAGTCCATTGTGTTGCATTGTAAAGCATTGCAGCACTTTGCGGTGCATTGCAGTCCATTGTGGTGCTTTGCAGCACTTTGCAGTGCATTGTGGCTCATTGTGGTGCATTGCTGCACATCGCAGTGCACTATGGTGCATTGCAGTATATTGCTGCACCCAGCAGCACATTGCAGTGCATTGCTGCATTGCTGCACATAGCAGTGCATTGCTGTGCATTTTGGTGCATTGCTGTGCATTTTGGTGCATTGCTGCATGTAGTAGTGCATTGCGGCACATTGCTGCACACAGCAGTACATTGTGTGCATTGTGGCACATTGCTGCGTTGCTGCACGTAGCAGTGCATTGTGACGCATTGCTGCATTGCTGCATGTAGTGGCACATTGCTGCATTGCTGCACGTAGCAGTGCATTGTGACTCATTGCTGCGTTGCTGCACGCAGCAGTGCATGCCATGCGCTGACACTGCGTTTGCCCGCATTGCAGGCTCTGATGCGGGAGCTGGAGGCGCGGGAGCGGCGCATCAAGGAGCTGCAGAGCACTGCAGAGCGGCTGCTGCGCGACGAGCATCCGGCAAGGAGCACCGTGGAGGTCAGCACGCAGCGGGGGGGTCAATGGGGCAGGAGGGGGGCGACCCACTGCTGCCCCATTGACCCCATTGACCCCGTTGACCATTATTTGCCCAATTGACCCTATTGGCCCCATTGATCATTATTGGCCCCATTGATCATTATTGGCCCCATTGATCATTATTGGCCCCATTGACCCCATTGGCCCCATTGACTGTTATTGGCCCCGTTGACCCCATTGAACGCTATTGACTCCATTGACCCCATTGACCCATTGACTCCATTGTCCCCATTGATCCCATTGATCCCATTGTCACCATTGACCCTATTGTCTGCTATTGACCCCATTGTCCTCATTGTATACTGTTGGACCCCTTGACCCCATTGTCCCCATTGATCCCATTGATCACATTGACTCCATTGACCCCATTGTCCGCTATTGTCTGCAATTGACCCCATTGACCCCATTGTTCCCATTGACCCCATTGTCCCCATTGATCCCATTGTCACCATTGACCCCATTGTCCGCTATTGACCCCATTGACCGCATTGTCCACTATTGGACCCCTTCACCCCGTTGTCCCCGTTGATCCCATTGACCCCATTGATCCCATTGACCCCATTGTCTGCTATTGACCCCATTGACTTCATTGGCCCCATTGATCCCGTTGTCCACTATTGGACCCCTTGACCCCGTTGTCCCCATTGATCCCATTAATCCCATTGATCCCATTGACTCCATTGATCCCACTGACTCCATTGTCCCATGACCCCGTTGTCCACTATTGGACCCCTTGACCCCATTGGCCCCGTTGACCCCATTGACCCATTGACTCCATTTGCCCCATTGATCCCATTGTCACCATTGACCCCATTGTTCACTATTGACCCCATTGACTTCATTGTCCCTATTGATCCCATTGTCCACTATTGGACCCCTTGACCCCATTGACCCCATTGGTCCCATTTACTCCTTTGATCCTACATTGTCCGCTATTGACGCGCTTGGCCGATTGACCCCATTGACCCCATTGTCCACTGTTGGACCCCTTGACCCTGTTGTCCCCATTGATGCCATTGATCCCATTGACTCCATTGACCCTATTGTCTGCTATTGACCCCATTGACCCCATTGTCCACTATTGGACCCCTTGACCCCATTGATCCCATTGATCCCATTGACTCCATTAACCCTACTGTCTGCTGTTGACCCCATTGACTTAATTGTCCGCATTGATCCCATTGTCCACTATTGGACTCCGTGACCCCATTGGCCCCGTTGACCCCATTGTCCGCTATTGGACCCCATTGTCCCCATTGATCCCATTGTCCACTATTGGACTCCTTGACCCCGTTGGCCCCGTTGACCCCATTGTCCGCTATTGGACCCCATTGTCCCCATTGATCCCATTGTCCCCATTGATCCCATTGTTCACTATTGGACTCCATGACCCCATTGACCCCGTTGACCCCATTGGCCCCATTGACCCCATTGTCACCATTGACCCCATTGACCCTACTGTCCACTATTGACACCATTGTCCCCATTGTCCACTATTGGACCCCTTGACCCCATTGTCCACGTTGACCCCATTTTCCCCATTGACCCCATTGTCCACTATTGGACCCCTTGACCCCATTGACCCCATTGACTCCATTGTCCCCATTAACTCAATTTTCCCCATTGACCCTATTGTCCACTGTTGGACCCCTTGCCCCCGTTGACCTTATTGACTGCATTGTCCCCATTGAGCCCATTGTCCCCACTGCCCCCACTGACCCCGTTTCCCCCATTGCCCCCATTGTCCCCATTGACCCCATGGTCCCCACTGACCCCGTTTCCCCCACTGCCCCCCGCAGGCATTCCAGGCGGCGCTGCAGACGCAGTGGAGTTGGATGCTGCAGCTGTGCTGCTGCATTGAGGCGCACCTGAAGGAGAACAGCGCCTACTTCCAGGTATGGGGGGTGGGAGGGGGGTGGCAGTGGGACCCCCGGTGTCCCCCCGCCCCCCGACCCGGGGCAGCCCCTCACCGTGCCCCCCCCCTCGACGCCTTCGCAGTTCTTTGCCGACGTGGCGGAGGCGGAGGAATTCCTGCGCAGGATGGAGGAAACCATGCAGAAGAAGTTCAGCTGCGACCGCAGCACCACGGCCACGCGCCTCGAGGACCTGCTGCACGACTGCGCCGTCAGTGTCCCACTGCAGCCCCCCTGCAGCCCCCCCTGCAGCCCCCTCCCCTGCCCCACTGCAGCCCCCCTGCAGCCCCCCCTGCAGCCCCCTCCCCT